AAAGAGTTTGCAAAGCTATTCAAAATAAATTCTAAATGGTCTCCTGAAAGAATTGTAATAAGGAAAGGCTCACATCTCTCCCTGCAGCTGCTTTGCAGAATATCACAGCTCAAGTTCAGTTTCCAGCTAATCTTTTACAGTAATTTATATGCTGATTTAAATTTTAAAACATTTTAATATTTTTAGAGCAATTTCTTTAATGAGATTTTAATGAATACGGACACCAATGTAATGAACCCATAAAAAACTAAAATTTTCACACTTCTAGGATACTTGCTTCTATTTCTGAAGGATTTGTTTGATAGAAATAATTTCAGAAATATCACCCATGCTTCGCAGGGATTCTGTTTTTACCCAGAGAATTTCTTTTACGCAGAAGCATGAGACAACCGGCCCACACTCACTCCCACTCCTCTGGCAATTGGTCCTGCTTGTTTCATTATGGCAGTGAAGCAGTGACAGATTTAACATGCTCCATCAGCAGAGAAATTACTTACAAATATCACACATATCTCAAGAGAAAACTTTTAGTCTCAGAAAATCTACATTGAGTAACCACCTCTCTTCATGGTTGGCCTTTAGAAGAAGTCAAAATAAAAATTATATCCAAAGGCAAACATTGCTCTCTTTTTTTCTCAGTAGCTGAAGTATCTCTATGTTTGTTTGTCTCCTTATACGTCTGCTACCATCCAACGATGAACAGGCAAAAGAAATTTCAGTAGCTTCAGTAATTTCATTTTATAGGCAGTTTTGGCAATTAAATCAAGGTTTAATTAGCATTACAAAAGAACACCAGTGGGATACGGGCACATGAGTAATATTTTCTGGGGCCCATGTACTGCCATGTCAAGATGCCAAAGGAATCGGCGCCAAGCACTTATTGTTTTGGCAGATACCTAAGCACAGCCTGTGCTTTATGGCAGCGAGTCTGCAAATGAGGCAGGATCACGACTGTGTAAGATTTACAACCTATGCCACACCTGAAGATAACACAGACGAGAGGCAGTTACACCCCAAATGCATACAATCCTGCCGGAGCAGGAACTATGAAGGAATAACCGGAAGGAGAGAGACGATGAATATTAATAAAAACTTAATATTAAACAAAAGGGGTTTTCCCCCCCGTATTTAGATTTGGATGTTTTGTTTTTCTTCCGTAAATCCAGAAGTTATTTGATAACTGTCCACAATTCATTTGAACCAGGTGGTTCTCCCAGCTCCCGCACTATCAAAGACCGGCCATCCCCTTGTCCTGCAATGCCTCACTCCTCCTCTCCCAACCACATTGCTTTGGGACACAGTCCTTCCTTGACACAACCTTTTAAAAACACTTCTCTTGCTCCGACCTTTCCCCAGTGATCTCTTCAGGAACACGATCTGGACGCTTTCGTGGGCCTGAACAGTTATCCTGAGCAGGGCTCACCGTTCAAATCCCCCAGAACTGAATCTCTTTTTGGCTGTTATTAAATAAAGACTCTGTGTGTGTGGATCTGAGCAGCTGTCAGGCATCCCACCACGACTGCGGAGCGCTGGCAGGAACCCTGTACAGCTTTAAAAAGCGAAGATTTACTCACCCACTGCCGCGTCAGCTGCTCCGGGCCGGCTGCTGGGCCTGGCCGCCAGGCTCTGGGACACCTTCTGGACGAGGAGATAGATGGCGACGGCGGCCAGGAGGATGTACCAGCCATAGCTGGACAGCAGGGAGCCCACTAGGACGGGGACAAGCCGGAGGTGAGAGCAGGCTGCGGGGGAAGGAGCCCACCCAGCCAGGAGGCGCCCGGGCGGGACCCGGCTCCTCTCCTCACGAGTCCGCCGCGCTCCCCTCAGCCCC